GGCGAGATGCTAAAACGCATTTCGTTCTAGCATCTACCCGAAAGAAACATGCGTTTCGGAGTCAGGTAGTCGCCTTTTAGCATCCCCGGCGTCTTCTCGTGGCTCGAACGGCTTCAAGCACACTTGTTAGGTATAATCGTCATCTTTTTAATTAATTTCTGATTTTTTTATATTTAGTAGATTAGTTTTTGATTTTTTTATTTATTTATTTTTCTGTTTTGGTTATTTCTTGTTAATTAGAGTTTCAAGTTAGGTTTATTTAATTAGCTATCTCTATTTAGTTTAGTGGTTTGTTAGATTCGTTATTGATTTAAACATGATCTTTAGTGTATTAGTTAAATCATTCACTTAGTTAGTCGATTATTTATTTATTGTTAGTCGTTGTCCGATTGTTAACGATGCTCGTTCTGTTTTGAGCATTAGTTTGTGAATTTAGTTGTTTGTTTAGTAATTAGTTTGCACAAATCGAATTCATTCCCATCAAGTTGGTTTTAATACTTAGTTCAATTACGTTTTTAGTCTCGTCTATGCTTTGTCAGTTCATAGTTGTCCAAGTTTGATTTGTGTTGAGCAAGTAGTTTGTTGTTGATGGTTAAAATCTGAAGTTTAGTTTATTTTATTACAAAATAGGGTAATAGTAGCTTACTTTTACTAGTAGGGTGGCCGAAAGGACATTTTTTCTCCTTGCTTCTGACACAGCAGATTTTCAGGTTGTCCTTTCACCTTCGGGACAGACCTTGAACAGTGTTTAGCACACAAAGTCAGTCTTTGGGACAGATTTTTGGTGAACCAAAATCTGTCCAAAAATCTAACTTTATTTGCCTATTGAAAGGGCTGCTTTTCTCCTATAAAAGGGACTTTCTTACGCTTAGAATGGAGAGGGACTCACTGAAAAGGGGGACACTCTATTATACACTCTATCTTATACTGAGACACATCTTGGAGAGTTGCTAAAAGACATATCTTTGAGAAAAATCAGCAGCTTAATACATATAACAAGCTGAAATTTCAGAGTTTTGTGAGGATTATTTGAGTGTAAAAACCTTGAAAAAAATAGAAAGATCCCATAGGCAATTTGTGAAGTTGATAGCTACCAGTTTCAATCATCTTTGTTGAGTTTTCTGGGTTGTCTTAATACTTGAGTTGCTGCTGTTTCTACTGTATTTGCTGCTGAGTTTTTTGTTGCTGCACTGCTGTATTTTATTATTCTACAAACCAGGTAACTTTCAAATTCTTATATTGCAGATTCTTGATGATAATAAGAAGGATTTGATCCCGGTTTGGTTGATGGAACATATTAGATCTGATTTTGTTTCAAGATGAATGTTATATTAGTGTTATCATCATGTAAATCTGTTAAAAATTAGTTAAATTATCATTTTCTTCTTTATATATGTGATTAAAATTGTATTATGTTAAGATTACTTAGTTTAAGGAAAAGATAAAGACCTCACTTTTAACCATGTTTGTTTAGTTTGGGCTCTTTTCCGTGAGTTACTTTCATGATTCATGTATAATAATCTAAGAAAGATTTCTAGCTTCAAATGTTTTGATGCTTTGAATTATAGTCAAAATAATGTTATACTTAATATAGTTCTTCTCTTTAGCATTGAAGTATTACCGTTTTTTGTAGTTTTTATATTTAGTCGTGGTTTTTATGTTGTTAATGGGTATAGTTTGATTAGTGCCATAATTGGTGTAGATGAGTAGAAATATTATGTTAGTCCTTAAAAAATAGTTGGTTAAGAAGATAAAAGATAATAATTAGCATGTAAGTTTCTTTTATGAAAAATATAAATTTTAGTTTAGACATCAATGTAAGAAGTAATTTGGGTTTAGAAGAATACTTGTTATTTTGTGTTGTCTTGGTCATCGAGGCTCTTAAGCAACATGGGCCAAGTAAGCTAAAATTTGTAGGCCCAATGACAATAGAAAGTAAGATGGGCATTTTCTTTAAAATCAATAAATTATCTTTTGTTAAATAAAATAAGTGGCCCAATACCATGAAAGTTTAACATAAACTTACTCGGGTTTAATGTCTTGCATGAGTGAAAATTGTTTTTAATAATAATATTTTTCCCAGTCGAACAAGTAATAAATAAAAAAGAAGCGCTTTTTAATTGATTTAAGCGATAGACAATTTTAGGCACGTTTGAGATGTAGACCATGTGTTCATACACGGTCCTTGATCGATATTATTTTTTAATAAAGTATTCATGTGTGCATTCCCGCTCCTTGACTTTTCAATATTAATTGTATTTAAACCATGTGTACCGACACGTTCTTTGTTTCAATACATATAATCAAATAAGGACTTTGTGTGCTTGCACGCTCCTAGGCCAAAATTATTAATTATTAAGCAACACTAGACAATAGTAATTTAAGGCAAATAATACATACTTTATTCAAAAATAATTCAAGCCAAATTTTAGTCAATAAAAGCGACCGTGCTAGAACCACGGGATTCGGGGAATGCCTTATACCTTCTCCCCGGTTAACAGAATTCCTTACCCGGACTTTATTTTTGCAGACCAATAATAATAGAGTCAAATCTTCCTTTGATTAGGGATTCAAATAAAAGGTGACTTGGAACACCAACAAAATCAATTCCAAGTGATGACTCTGTAAATAAAATAATTCCTACTCAGTTTTGTCACTTTAATTGAAAAAACCCTTTAATCCACACAATATTATTTTGCGGGTAGAAAAATGAGTGTGACAAGAATTATATTCAGAAACACACTTAAAGTCTTGGAGCCTCAGGTGAGCCTAATCATATCGTGCTTGTGGAAGAGTGACCAACTTTAAGTTGTCATATCTTTCCTTTAAGCCATTCCACAAAATAAGTGGATCTTTGACTGTGAGATATTTTATCTTCAACCCTTCATCAATGTGATGACGCAAGAAAATCAAGGCTTTAGCACAGTCTTGGGTAGATGCTTTATTTTTGTCTTTAATGGAGTCTCCAAGACTCATTGCATCTAAATAGATTTCAGCATCCAACACCCATGTCATATAGTTCTTGCCCGAAATTTCAAGGGCAACGAACTTTCTTTTCATAATATTAATCATAATTAAAAGAGGAAAAAAGTTATACCTTAGTCTTCTCAAAGAGCTTCTTGAGACGGTAGAGTCTAGTGCTGATAACGTGTTATAAAATATAACTTAAAGTAACAATATAGAACAAGGAAAAATAAGCTAAGAGATATAGAGAGAAAGAGATGAGAGATTCTTATTTCTTCTTCAATTGTATGTATTTTCCTATCTATTACAAGACCTTTATATAAGCATAAAAAGTGAAGAAAATATGTCATTGAATATATCATTAAACATAAAAAATATATCATTGAATATGTCATTAAGCATTTGAGATGAAGATCATGAATGAATAGTAGACATCCACCGTAATTTGATATTTTTTATAACAAACCATTAATTTAACATCCCTAACTAATTATAAAAAGCTTTGCTTCAGAGTCCCACTCGACAGTTGTTAGAGCTTTGGTTCCACATTTAATAATAGTGATGAAGAACTCGCGCAGAACACGCAACCCCACTACGTGCGTTTTCTTACACTGCTCAGGTAAGACTTGATTCTGCTCTCTCCCCTTCTTTTCCATCTGTCCACTCACTATTTTACTCTTTTTTTTGTTTTCTTCTAATGTTTGATATTTGTATTAGTGTCGATTAAATTTGAAAATTTTTATATTAAAAGTTAGGTTTCTCTAACAAAGACTAAAGAATTCTTACGCCCCATCACGTAACTCCTGTTGGTTGGCCATTTTCTTTTCTTTTGCTTTATTTCTCCTATCCTAAAAAAAACTTGTTAAGTTTTTCCCCCTTTCTTGCCAAAATCAAGAACCCTCTCTGTTTTTTCTCTCTCTCTGTGTCTGATCTCATCACCATCTAATCTAGTGTTTTCATTGCTGGAGTGCTGCTGCCTGCCATCATCATTCATCATAGTATTTCTTTTCCCTTGGTCAAAATATAATTAGAAGTCATAAATATTTGTTTATGACATGGGTGGAGTTCTGAATTTGGTCAGTCGTGGCAAAAAAATAATACTAATTAATTGTTTGGCAGACTGCAGGCTTAGCTGCAGCAGGAACATTCAGGCTTTTAGTCATCAATATCCGTTGCTTATAATGTTGCCCCTCTTATTTCTTTTGAAAATCGATGGTACCGTGTGTGTGCGTGCTATTTTTAGTACTGTTTGGTTACAACATCCTACGCGAAAATCAATTTGAACCAGTGAGGATTACTAATTCATTTTGCTTAAATAAGCAGTGCGTTATGTGTATGAGAATGAGAAACGTCCGTAAGTTAACACTTGATGCTACTCGTAGAATAACCAATTTCGGTTGGAATACTATGTAAAATTGTTTGAAAAGATTTTATTTTTTGAAAAATAGTTAAAGTAACAAAACAAGAAAGCAAGAGAAAATAGAACCATTCTTGAAAAAGTTGGCAGTTTTATAGCCTATTTGGCCAAGTTTATTTTTGGGCCAAAAGTATTTTTGTTTTTTTGGCAAAAAACACTTTTGGAAGGAAAAAAAGTGCTTCCGAGGAGAAACAGAAGCAGTTTTTGAGAAGCAGAAAAAAATAGCTTCTCTCCAAAAGCACTTTTCTGAGAAACACTTTTGAAAAAAATACACTTAGAAGCAGTTTTCAAAAGCTTGGCCAAACACTAATTACTGCTCAAAAGTACTTTTCAAATTAATTAGCCAAACACAAACTGTTTCTCACCAAAAGTACTTTTGAAAAAACACTTCTCAAAATAAGCTGATTTTAGAAGTTTGGCCAAACAAGCTATTAAGGTAAAAACACATAACATTGGCTGAGATTCAGTTTTCTTTCCATGGCAAAGTTTATATTTTTTATAAATGATATGTAGTAACCACGACATTTGTTTTTATGCTAGGACCTTACTTAGTTGGTCTCAAATAGGAAATTCATGCCTTTTAGATGATGACTAAAACGCCTGGCTATGCAGGGAGATAATCTCGTATGCAATTTTGTGTTAAGGGATGAGGAAATTTGAATGTAGAGTAATCCCAATTGATGTTTAATAGTATCTTATTTCAATAGGGAAAACAAAAAAAGAAAATTAAATATGGATAAATAAAGATGAAGTTCACAATTTGTCGAGTGAGGAGAACCAACTGATAAGGAACTGATGTTTGTTAGTTTTATTTAGTGTTAGAGTGACCAATGCTCGACTAGGCCTCATTTTTAAAAGGTTAAAACGTCTAAATCTGAATACATATCTGAATATCAAGATGTGTATTGAGATTAAGACATCTAAATCTAAATACAGATCTGATTATTAAGATATGTATTAAGATCTAAATACGGAGTAAATGATTAAGACTGTTCGATTTTTAACATCTGAATATATAAAATTTATCTTTATTTAAAAATTAATAAACATAAAATTTAAATAAAATACTAATTAATCTAATATTCTAACAATAAAATATATAATTTTTTAAAATATAATAGTTGCTGGTGGTGAGGACTAACGGTAGTGCTTGTGAATGCCGACTAGAGGCGGTGGTTGGTGGTAAATTTGGTCGATGGTGGTGGTTTAGGGTAGTAGCTAATGGTGATAGTTAATAATAACGGGTGGTGATGGTAGTTATGATTGAGAAAAGTGGTAGTGGGTATTGGTAGTTTATAATGATGGACAGTGTCGGCTATGGTTGTTGATAGTAATGTGGTGGTGTGGTAGTTGAGGTGGATGAGTGTTGGTTGTGTTGAGAATGATGGTCGTGGGAGTGATGGGGATGGTGGATGATAGTAGTCGATAATGGTGGCGGCTATGATTGAGGATGATGGTGGTGGTGGTGATGGTGGTTGAGTATGGTAGTGGTGGTGGCATGGTCGCGACTGTTAATAATGAATATGAATGATAACATCTTAATGAAATTAAGTCTCTGTTATAAATCTTAATCATACAGACCTATTCAGACCCATTAAGTAGTTGTGAAGTTAAAAAAATAAACACACTTAATGATTAAAATCTCAATAATAAAGATCCAGACTTTAAAAATAAACGCACTTAATGTCTGGGATCTGAATGATTAAGATTCAGACCTCCATTAAGTGCAAACAAATGAGGCGACAGACTTATAGAAATTGACATGGACAATGATCAACTTCGGTCGGTCAATTTTTGACCGACCGAATTCTTTTGGTTTTTACTTTTCTTTTTCAATTTGTTTTTACAAAATCGACAAAGTTCGATCTGTTTTTTTTTGCGCCAAAATGTGATAAATTATTTTTACGTTGCGAGAAAATTATTTTTCAAGAAACCGACCAAGTTTGAATGATTTTTCATTATTAAAACAAAATTACAATTAAAATTTAGAAAATCGACCAAAATCGGCCCG